AAACATGAATCCACTTTCTTCTCTATTGTTTTTAGCTTTTCAGTATTTAATTTATTTGTGGTGGAGGGGTTACAAATCATTCTTAATTATGGGAAAATATGAGAAACACACATAAACAGCTATTGAATTGAACCCACATCAACGTATGACATATACTTCAAAGCAAAACTTTGCAGCAAACTAAAAATAAAAATCTATCACACAGAATAATTAAGGATCTACCAATTATAATAGATCTACCAATCTAGAGCATGCAACTATTATCAATGAACTATTAAATCCTTAAACTGGAACATCCCCACAAACCCACAACGCAGAGTACTTCAGACTACAGAGAGAGAGGAGAGGATGTACCTGCTATGTTGTGTGCTATTTCACACTTGAGGGATGCTAGGAAATGGAAATCGACGATGGAGCTCTGGCCAGTGAATCGCTCCTACCTTGACTTCGACGCAGTGCAAAGAAGAGAGAGAGAGATAGAGATTGAAAGAGAGAAAGAAAGGGAGAAGCAAAGAGAGAGAGAGAGAGAGAGAGAAGAGACGGAGGACTGGACTGACGAACAATTACAGGAGCAACAAACATAAGGCAATAAATCCAACAAATATTCGTAACCCACAAAAAAAAATGCCAACCCACAAATATATACTGAGAGAGAGAGTAGAGTCAGTAGACAGTAGGGAGAGGAGAAGGGTGGGAGGGAACTCACCTCGTCGCCGGTGGAGGCTATGCTTAGTCGTTGGTGGAGCTCTGCTCAGCCGCTGCTGCCTGGGGGTCTGCTCGCTGGTCTGATCGCTGCTGGTGTTGGAGTGGAGGCTGGTCTGGTCGCTGGTTGGTGGTGTAGGCATTGCGAGGCTGCTCGTCTGGTGGAAGTGGAACGATTTAGGGCAAAACGAAAAGGGGAAAAATGCCCAAATAAAAAAAAATCTCAGATTTATAGGAAGAAAGTTAAATCGATCGGTTTGTTAAATTCGTCCGGTTCTCACGAGTTTACCGGTTTTTGAGCGGTTCAACGGGTTTAATCCGGATTTCTTACACAAACGGTCTTTTAATTGACCCAGACCAGTTAGGGGACCGGTTCACTGATTCCCCGAATTGATCCGTCGGATGGGTCAAATTTTAAAACACTGATCAGTACTCAGGAGATCAAATATTTATTATCATTTGTCCATCACCTATCTTGTCATTGTCATCCCAGAACATCAGGTGTTTCATGTCATGCATTCATGGTCTCATGTTGAGCACTTAAGAGTCTTCAAACTCACTGTTGAACTCTCCGTTTTTTTTTTTTTTTTTTCAGTTCGGCTCTCTCATCTGATACAACCCATTGTATTTTTTAAGAGCAATTCGCAATAACCACCAAAGTGACTCAATGGTAAAGAATTGAATAAAAGTTGGAATCATTACCCTTTTAGTGAATGCATGCAACTGTTGGCAAGGGCAATTACACTTCATGTCATAACTTTCAACTTTTAGATTTCTATTTTATTATTCTTATTATTATTATTATTGTGTATGACCAACTCACTTGCCCAACACATGCATTTGTAAAATTTGAACTTATGGAACTTATAGTTCGGTATTGGTCAACCGAGACATCAACGGTCTAAGAGGTGTTGTTTCACAAGCATATTAATATATTAATTTATAGGAAAATTTTCATTTTATTCTCTGAAAGATGCAAAAATTTTCAGTTTATCTCCCGAATGATTAATTTTTTTACATTACCTCCTAAAAAATATAAAAAGATTACAACGTGATTTTCATTTATTATTGTTTTGTGTCAAATCAATCAATCAGAAATTACAAAATAGACGGACGATTAAATGAAAATAAGACAGTGAGCCACGTTGTAATATTTTTATTTTTGAGGGGATAATATAAAAAAATTAATCATTCAGAGGACAAACTGAGAATTTTTATATCTTCAAGGACAAAATGAGATTTACCCCTAATTTATATATCCATGTATAGTAAATAAAATATTGTATTTTAAAATAACCATTATAAATATACAACATGAAGAAGCCATTTCTTATTCTCTTTTGCTACTGGTAACACTATTTCACCACAAATTATCCTTAAATAGCACGACCGAAGAATCTAAATGGACAACTAAAGCAGAAAAGAGGTCAATGCTATTTGCCAAACCTGAAAGAGTCTATTGTAGACAAACCTCCAGAGAAGTTAAATGTAAATTAAAAAATTTCCAATAATTCGTACTTTTTCATACAAAAAATTATTAAATGACCATTTTATCATTGATAATTTTTTTTCTAAATGCAAATGCTTACCAAACCGTAACCCATTAAAAGTTCGGTCAGTTTTTGTGCCTTATAAAATTTCCAATGTTTAATAATCCTACTTACAACCGATAACCTATTAGTCCATATTGTTGGAAATTATCTCCATTGACGATTATAAAGTGAGAGTATTGAAAACTAAAACTTGTGAGTTCATCCTTGATTTGCATTTCTAAAATAGTTATTCAATTTTCAGATTCATAAAAATACTGAATTTGTCCAACTTGCTTATGTATTCATATTCAATGGCTAATTTCTTTTACTTATTTTCTTGGTAGTAAGCTGCAGGAGAAGGCGATGAATTTAAACCAAAACTGATTGCAAAAGGTAAGAAGAAATCGTCGATAAATGTGAGACTCTTTTATTTTTTGACATGGCTTAAATTAGCGGCCTTGTTGCTACTCAGATGATGTACTAATGTCGATTATAATAAATCCGACTAATGCTTGATGCACCAAAGCATTAAAAACAATTTTTAGTTTACACTGCCTTACTTTTGTGTTTTAAAGTTGCAGGAGTTCTACCATGATCGGTGGTAAAGATGGAGGACCATCTTGATTCTTGAACTAACCATGTGCTACTTCTTTTGTTTTTATGCATGGGCAAGCTTTTGATTGTCTACCGCCTCAAATATCCTTGGAGAAGCTAAAATTTGACAATCTTTGAAATCTGAATGATGTAAAAGTTAGGTTGATTATCAGAATTTGTTAGTAGTGAAAGTAATTTACTTTAGCTACATAGTTATTTTCTTAACGTCATCAACTTGTAAGGTTATACTTCTACCCAACTGTTGTTCCGACGACTGAATGAGTTGCTGCAAAGGTGAATAAGGTATTGTATTGCCTTTTAATTGGCCTTTGTAGAGAAATTAACGAGACCTCTATAATATCATTGTACATATAAGTATTCACTTCAAGATTGTCATATGACAGACAACCTCAATTTTAATATAAAAGTGAGTCATACTAATGTGATCGATTAACTATAATTGGAAAGTTCACTGGCAATTTTTTGTAGGATAACGTAGTTGCTAGCATTGAGATCAAGATTGCTGCTTGGAACCTTCCTCCCTAAAGGTAATTAGATTTATGGCTACGCCTACTACATTGATGTATTTGTCTAATCTGATGATATTGTTGTTTTTGCCTTTTAATTGGTTCTCTGTAAGTCCTAACAACAGATATTTTTGTTTCTGCCTACAAGCAAATGTATCTCAGCCAACCAATAATAATTCATTTGATTAATACTAAAACTAGCTATGCAGATAACTTTAATTTTATTTATTACAGTTCTAGAAAAATTAATACATACTATACATAACATTATTACTACACTAATTTGAAATAAAAAAAAAAAACTTCAAACCAATTGAAGGAGTTTTTTGGATTCAAGTCGTGGAAGAAGAAGTGAAACTTTATATTTTCAAAAATTTAGGTGCTATAAATTCTTGAATTCAATGGATTATTATTAGTTACATAGGTATAGGTACTGTCTTTCATACGTTTTTATTGTGCATTATACCTAAAAATAGCAAAATATTATAGGCAACATCAAAGCAACATAGTCTTGCATTTTGGTTTTTTAAATAGTTCATTACTTGGTATCAATATTCTAATTTTGCTAAATTATTTATTTGTACAAGCATTGATTAGGCTTTATATTCCTCAAGTTTTGCATATCTATCCATAAATTATTCGGAAATAGTAGGAGGATTGCCTTTGGTTTCAACATATTCATAATCACTCTAGATTTAACACATGATTTTTCTTACAAACTATAACTCTAAGTGATCCACATATGTGTGCACCGAATAAAAGATTAACTCTTTAGATTTCACGCGTAATAAAAGAAAACTTAATAACCATGATTGGTGACGTGTTTCAACAATCATCGTATTAAACATTTGTCCGAGACATTTCCCGTCATCTTATAACTTGATTTATGATTAATAAGAAATAAAAATAACAACTCAAAATAATTCACGTGCAACGCACGCGTACAATAACTAATATTAAAAAAATTATATATATATGTACTACTAATAAATGAGTTCAAAAAAAAATTAAAAATTCTTATAAAAGAGTCCAAAACAAGATAAAAATCAAATAAAAATAAAAAACAAAAATGATATAAAAATATATAGTTGAGTATTACTGACTTCATTATAAAATTATGGATAAAATAGAAAATTAAATAAAAAATTCACAACTAATATTTATAAATAGTATAGATAATAAATTCATTTCTACTTCTTATTTTTTTGCATGTCTAAAATATTGAATCATTGTATAGATTATATAGCAAATTTTGATCCAAACTTATTCCTTCAACAAATTGAACTTTTGACCCACTTGCAAAAATAGTTTCAGTAAAAAATAATTTACCCTTCTTTTGCAAGATAAGATTCTTTACTGAAATAAATGATAAAATTCTCGATCGATTTGATCAAATTTCAAAAAGATTAGAATAGTTCACAGATGATAATATGATGCGCGGCTCTATTAAAACGAATTGCTAATTCGGGCAAACAGAAAATGCCAAAAACTCTATTTCTTTGGCATGGCAGCAGAATGCAAGTCAAAATTAAGGCACACAGAACAAGCCTAGAAAAAGAACAATGATTGACGAAGAAAAGGATCAAAAAAAGGTAACAAACAATATAAATAAACACTATCTATAGTTGATCTTGAGATTTCCAACCTAGTTCCTTCTACCTCTGCTCCGCCTAGATCCCACAACTGTCCATCCATCCTCTGCTTCAGCCACCTCACTAAGCCTTGGCTCATCAATCATCATGTCCTTTTCACTTAAACTTGGCTGGGATTCTGGATTATCAATTACCATCTCTGATGCATCATCTTTTCTGGGGACATCCTCTTCATCATCGTCACTGCTACTGTCATCGTCTTCGTTGACAGCCTGTATGAAGTTACGAAGCAAAAGAAAAAGGAATAAATGCACATTCACCACTACTTCCCACAATTGAGCACAGGAATGAATGCACATTCACCAATACTTATCACAACTAATTAAATCTAGCTTTCAAATTTTTTTGTTATTTCAAGTGCCCAATGAGCACCATGCCTGGGCAAATCTTTAATATCCCATGTCTAGTACTACTTCTGTCCCAAAAATTAGTCTTTCTTTCCTTTTTGGAAAGTCATAGTTTTCAAAATAATGCTTTGCACTTGTCTGGAACTATGGCGTTGGGGCCAAACTTTCTTTTAGTTTAATTTTTTATTTTAAAAAAAGGCAGAGTTTTTTTAACTTTAGTTGGTGGCTAATTCAAAATAACTACTAATATTAAAAAGTTGGATTTTCAGAAGACTTGAATAACAGGATACTCGAAGTAATGGGGTTTTTGGCATATATATGAACACTCACGCACACTGCATATAACATGCACCCATCCTCCATCACTAGCATGATGTCCACCACCATAACAGTCACCTCCACCAACTCTCTTCACCTCCTCAGATTCTCTTCACAAGTGTGCATCTGAGTGAGTGTATGCAGAGAAGGTCATCTCCTTGTGAGTGCATGTCTACAAGTGTGTGCAAGTGCGCACATATGCAGTGGTTGTGTTTATTGTCAGTATGTCTCTGTGTTTGTGCAAAAGAGGTCAACACTGAATGAATAGTCAAGTCAATCAACACCATGAAGAACACACAATTGGAGCTCCATTCGGGCTGGCCCTTTACCAGGCCCAGATCCACTATACCACACATTCTGTTTAAACTCCAGATAATCTTTTGATCAAATTTGTTCATGCCAAGACTAACCAGTTATCAAAATTGGAAGGAGGTTTCACCAATAGATCACAACACCACCACCCCATCGTCACCCATCAATGATATATGAGCTTTGGCTTTTTCACAAGATTCTCAGTTGTGATCAGGTAAAGGTGCCAGAGAATTTTAGGCATACATAGGTAATGTGATTGGTTTCGATGGGTCAATCAATAGGATGGTTATGCTAGAAATTGTTTAACTCTGATATTATAGTTGCAAGGATCAAAACTTCATTTAGGTGCATAGCTTCAGCCAACTCAAAAACATTTCATACAAAAATTGTTTCTAAAACATTGGTCATAATGTACCAAATCATTTCAGAACATCTCGAAACATTCAAACTTCAATATTTAGTTTCCATCAAAACGAAAACGTTTCAGTTGTTTTGGTGTAAAAGAAATAGAATTTAGATACTTGTATAGTTGATTTGTTTGATCATTTTAGACCAATAGGAGTTATCTATTTTTTGTTTACATTTGAATTGATCAACTAGGTTTGACCATTTTTATGAGGGCATGTGGTGATGGTTGTTTGCGAGGATGACAACAATGGAGGTGTGTTAGTGATGGTAGTTTATTTTGTATCCCATTTGCCCTACACAGGAGGAGATTGAACCGGTTACAGGATTTGATGCAAAAAATAATACCAACAATTCATAGAAAAAAAAAACGGCACGAGTCAAAAACAACCATGATGGTGAAATTACCTACATTATACATAGAAATGGGAAGATGATCAAATGTTTGCTACCTAAAGAGCTGAGGTGTATACATGAGGTTGGGATTGGTCAAAGTATGGGAGCAGGAGAGCAGGTTGCCTAGTCTTAAATAGATACACTAGTCTTACATAAGCCACATATTCATTGGCTAATAAGCTCTGCATGTCACCCATGATATGCGAATGGATAAATTTATTCTATGAAAATCATGCCTCAAGCAACAAAACCTAATTCGTAGATTTTGGACACTACTAATCTCCCCCAAGCATGTTTTAAGATCTTGATGCACCGTCATTTAGAAGCTCAATACCCCCAAGTTTTCACAACTATTTTGAACATCAACATGCATCAACATCTAGGCAGTAAGCATGATATTCTCTTCGTAGAAATTTCTATATCTGAACCAGTTGAGCATTAAAAAATGATTTGCTTCACAACCTATTATCATTGCCTATTCGAACAATTCTTTTCTGGTTTTTATCCTTCATTAGGACAAAAGCTTTATACACAATAAAAAGCACAACCATAAGTTAATGGACCAATTAGAAACCAAGAATTGTCCTCATTTATGAGCAAAAAAAAGATTTCAACCAAGGAGAATTAGGATTACCTGTTTGAATTGAAGAGCAGCACTTGTGGGAGGGGCGATTTCTTTTAGTTGGACAATAGAACTAAAATTACCTTCCAAACATTCTTCATGCATAAACATTATTTTCTCTGCAATCTGTTTAAGCATCATTATAAATAGGGTATCATCAAAAAGACCAATCAAGAAGGTCATCAAACCAAATGGAATGCATGAGAATGTGGCATTAGAGTTACAACAAAGCACGAAAAGTAATGAACTACAAGCATTAGGATCAAGAGAGCACTAAACAACAAGCACTTCCGCTCGTCTAAATACAGTGAAAAATGTGATCCATAGATGTTATCCATCCAGTAGTGGTAGTAGCTCTAATTCATCTTCCATCCAATCTACCCATTTAGGTCAGGTTCCTTACAACAGCAAGCAATACAGCTGCTAAAAAAATTTCTCATCTGTTTAATTAATGTGTTATGGGTGGTATGCCCTCGTCCTTGTTGTACTTCTCCAATTTGGTTATAAAGTTGTCTCTCCGATAAAAACTAAGATATCCTCCCGTCTATTCAGTAATACTTTGAAATTAGGGTATTGTGGGTAATTGATTGTCTGATGGATGAAGTCAGTCCAAATGATACACACATAAGCAAAATCAAGGTCACAGACTTCAACCCAGTAAATATAAAGGAGTAGAGGACTGTTGTAGGTAGATATGAAAATATTCTATTGGGATCAGCTTTAACTAGGAGGAATTTCCATGAACTGCAAACACATCATATACGACACACAACATTATTTCTCATTACCTTAACCTTCTTGACAAAAATTGTGAAATTGCCATAGTTTCTCTTGCTCCTCCACATGCTTCTTAACTCACCCACTAACAATCTCGCTTTAAAGGGAAAAATGAAAAACACAACATTTATAGAATAATGTTTTATACTCCCTTAAATGTTTCAAACTTCGCAGCAATCACAAGGACAAGGGTCACACAAAACATGAGCCACTGTAATCCAAAATGTATAAAAATTTAAAATTATTCTTTCTAGGGCACTTTTGAGATGTTTCAAGTAACTATTTATGAATCATCTGATTTTAAAGTGTCTGACACTGATTTAGTTCTATTTGCATTAGCTTATGCTTGAAAAGCCAAGGCTATTTGCATAATTCAATATGGCACATATGGAGTTATAAATTTAGTTGTAGTAGGATATGTCCAGCAGGTTGTATCCACCAACATACACATCTATATTTGTTGCTCTCATTAAAATGCAATCTTAGTTTAGAAAGCAGTATTTTTAGCCTAGAAAATCCAACTTTGACAAGTTAAACATACCCAGAATGGCAGAATATCATCTCACCCCAGGAATGGAAAATCACTAAAAAATAGTTTTAATTTGAAACTGCAAAAAAGCTTTCACCAACCCCTAAACAACCTTAAACCTTTTAAGATGCAGAGAGAGACAGAGATTGATAATGTCACTTCCAGACTAGTGTATTAAAAGTCTTATTAGATATGCCTAAGATAAAGAAGAAAATCAGAAATGGAATTGTTTTACTTTTCTAGATTATCTCTACTGTAGTGTTGTTTAATATAAAACAAACAGTAAGAGTGAACACCCCATTAGATGAGGCTCACTTAACAAATTTGCACACATTTAAACACCAAAAAGAGAAGAATGTATTTTGAATTTTGAGAGCAATTTTCTTTATTAAGCTATTCTGGGAGTCAGGAATCTTGCTGACATAGGTTGTATGTAATGGAATAGCCAATAATGAAGGCCCAGATATTCCAGTCAAATGATTTGGAAAATTTATATTGAACTTTCAAGCCATCAATATTTTACTGTACAAAAAATGTGTGAACTGTTGTCTTGGCATCCAAAAGAGAGTAAAATGCTATAGACGAAAGAATAGGTATGTTAAACATCAAATAATTAAATGGAAGGTGAAATTCGAATAGAGTCATTTGGAAAATTTATATTGGAACTTTCAAGCCATCAATATTTTACTGTACAAAGAAATGTGTGAAGTGTTTTCTTGGCATCCAAAAGAGAGTAAATTGCTATAAAAGAAAGAATAGGTATGTTAAACATCAAATAATTAAATGCAAGGTAAAATTGGAATAGAGTCATTGGGTGGGTAAACTGTGACATTGTAATTTCGATCTTGCCTACTTTATTGTTTCAACATCTAATATCAAAGTGATACAAAAAAAGTAAAACTTCGGTAAAAGATTGATTTCCCATTAGATTCATAGTACAAAAATTGGCTTGGCAAGAACCAATCCATTTCCACAATTATCCACGGGAAACGAATTTTCATTCATCTCAGCAAACACCAAAGGATGATATATCATCTTTATGAGGTTATATCATTTAACTTAACGTACACAGAGTGTGAAAATTCACTGCTGAAACTAATCTTAAAGAAAACATACCTCCTCAATGCTTCCATCATCAATCTCAGTGTTGAGAGAAAGCATAAATTCATCAAGCATATTCTCCAAATCATCAATATATAGTTTCCCTGAGCAGAAATCAAAAAATATAAAAATTAAAAGGACAAAATTAAAAGGTCAATAGAAAAATAAACTTCAAAAACCAAAAAATCCATTTGCTAATTTCAATCAAACCCAATTAACCATTCATTTGACAATAAAGTGAATAACTAAACGAAGATTAAAACAAAAAGATTCTTTTTTCTTCAGCTCTACACGTATATAAAGATATAAACTAAACACGGTTGCGTACGAATAAACCACTGAATCAAATAAATAAATATAAATGACAATACCTTTTGATTGGGTAAGGCAAGAGAAAATATCGAGGGCGAACTGTTGGGATCTCTGGCGAGAATCACGGCCGCCCCACTCGTTCTGGACGGCCATTTGAAGTGCAGTCCAACGAGAGAAAAGCAAATTGATGCCTTCTTGGAGCTGAGAACTTGCCTCTTCTGAGAGCTGATTGGTGGGGGTTCGATTCTCCATTTGCAGTAGCAAAACTCAGTAAAACCCTAAATCCTAAATATATCACTCCATGATTTAAAATAAAGCATGCGCAGATAATAAAGAACGATAACAGTGAGAAAATGAACAGAATATAACTATTAATTATTTTCGGATTATTTGATATAAAAAAACAACGTTAAAGCATATAAAAAGAGAAGAAAAGACCGTCATGGAGCGAAAATTCCGTCAACATCAAACTAGAAAAACACCCAGTGAGAAAAGAAACAAATTAAGATCAAAGGAAAATTGCATTCAACGGTGGATTAAATCACCAAAACATTGACAC